TAGGCTGGGGCTTAGATGCAGCCCTAAACGCTGCCCTGTCATCTTGCAGGACTCGCATTGGAGCTCATCCACTCTGTTCTGTCTGAATGCATGGAACTTGCCTCCCAGCTCTTTGACAAGCCAGAGCTGTGGCAGTGCTGGGAGGCTGATTAATAAGTAGGGCTTGAAGTATTTTTCCAGGACTATTTTATGGGAATAGCTCTCAGCAATCAAGATATAAAGAGATCGTCTTGGTTGATTTCCTGATGAAATAAAATGCATCTTGTGCTCGGTGTTCTGAGGATGTAAAACTTGTTTACAGTGGGTGGAGGTTGTCTTGTATGTGCAGCTTTACTTCTACAGTGTTTAGGGACTGAATGTTAATAGAAAACCAGCTTTAAATAGTCAATGGCATAATACAAATCAGTGTCAGGGTTTGGAGGGGTGTGCATGGGACTTATATTGAAGATGCCATAAAAAAAGACATCTTAGAGGGTTATGGATTGTGTCAGCCTACTAAAATGCCCAGAATTTGGGGTAGAGACTATCTCAGTGCAGGTTAGCAGGAGATTTCTCTTTTAGTAGTCTCTTATGGAATGAGCCCTGTAGCAAACCAGCCCTTCCACTGGGATCACAGAACAGTTAGGGTTGGAAAGGACATTAAGATCATCTAGTTCCCAGGGAATTTAGTGTTGAAGAACGGTTCCCTGCTGCATTTGGGTGCTGCTAGCACCACGTGGGCTAAGGAGAGAATGTGCCATATGAGGAATATGTAAGTAAGAAGCAGTTGTTCTCTTGCCTTGGGAGTCTTTGCTAAGCACAGCTGTGAGCCCACAGGGATTTCTTAGCTGACAACCTATTTTGCAGTTGTTCTCCCGTAGCATGTGCTTACAGTTCATGAGTGATGCTGAGAACTCCCGTTTCATCTGGTGATCTCAAATACTGGAATCGTGGACTAACCTTGCCTCCAGAGTAATGTTCCCAATTTAGTGGCAAAAAATGGCATTGCAGAAAGAAACTGGCTGGTAAGAAGGTGGTGGCTGAGGTGGGAAAGGTGTTCCCATGCTCTTTAGCTTGTCCTATGGCTGCTACTGTCCTGTGCTGTAGAATGATGCTGTGTCTGTGCACAAAGGATGTTATATAGCCTGTTTATGTCTCCAAAGCAGATATTAAACAATTGTCCTGTTTTCCTAGTGAGGTTTAGATTCTTTCTTGTTCAACCCCAACTTTTCCAATGAGGAGACCAGAAATGAGACCATCTGAGGGGCTATGGGTTAAGAGCAAATAAAAAAGCAGAACACACGTGTCTGGTTTTATCCTCTGAGTATCTGAAGGATGATATGGTGCAAAGGTACCAAGTAGCACAAAAATGGAGGGTGGAATTTAGGGTTTGGGGGCACAGGACAAGATGGTCTGTGCTGGTGGCTCCTTCCAGCATGGCAAAGAAAAGTCAGTCTGGCCATGTATGGCTAGAAGGGGGCTCTCTCTGGTATCTGATGTATATGGTGTATATATATACATATGGCACCGCTTTGTAGTTAGTGAGCCTGAGCTGTTTGGCAGAGCTGAGGGGGATTTATTTACATGCAGTTTTATTTTCAGCCTTCTTCCTGTTTTGACACCTCTTGGCAATTTTCCTAAGTGCTTAAAACTGCCTGTTACTGTGAAGCAGGTTTTTAAGCAGCTCCACCTTTAAATTGGGTAACGCTTATTTACTGTTTGACTCCTGGCTCTGACAGCATTCCTTTCTCTGACGGATTTCTGCTAAATGAGTTATTTCCCACACTTGCATCTTCTTTTCCATTTCCCTCCCTTTCTGTGGGTGTCAGTCACAGCTCATGAGGTAAAGGATGCTTTTAGAAGGCAAATGTTGCTCGACACTGTGTGTGATGGAAGGGGCAGAAAGCAGAAGGTGGCTGAGGAGAACCTAGCAGCTTTCAGTGGCTGACTGGCACAGGCAGCTGAATGAGAACTCTATTTCGTTTACCCTCTTGTTTTCCAATAGGAGAGACTGCAATGATAGGCATGTGCCCAAGTAATGGTATCTCTAGGAAGAGGCTTCAGGTTGCCAATGATAAATAGCTCTAATGCAATGGGCTTCTCCATACTTGCAGTCTATACTGCTCATCCACAGGTTTGCTTGTCCCCTGCTCTATCAGTAGACTAGTTTTTATGTAAGGAAAACTGGTTGCATTGCTTGGAGTTGATTTCTCCCCAGAGTGCTATGAGGACTTAATCTTCATGCCAACCTCTTGCTTATTGTGAAATAGCTTATTTTGCACTGCCTGAACTGAATTCCTCTAATCTTAATTCAAAGATGTGTGTTACCTAGCTCAGGCAAAGGTACACACATAGCAAGTCATGTTTGTTAAATGGATGAAATAAAATGAACTGGAGTTCCCAGTGCTGTGTGAGACCTTGCCTCTAAATTGCTTCCTTCTGCCTGCGTAGTTCCAAATGCTAAGTGAAAAACACTGTATATTGACTTCTGGAGCACAGACTGTCTCATCTGAGTCCTGTCTTTGTTCTCAGCTCTTTCTGCTCCTATGAAACACTTAGAAAGTCATTGTCAGGCTCAGAAACATCTTGAGATAAGGCTGGGTCTCTCGGAGCAGCAGACAGGTGACATCCCTGTGCCTGAGAATGAAAGCTGGCTGACATGGAACTTGACCTGCTGTCCCCTTTTGGGCTGATACTGTCTGCCGGTGGCTGAGGTGTACTTAGAATTGTAACTCAAGTGATGCCTGGCTTGTGTTCTTGCCCACAATATCTTTATAGCCTAAGCACCGCTCGAGTGTTGCTTAGCAATGCGTTTCTAGAGTGTTGCATGGACCTGGCATCTTGTAAAGCTTTCTAGGCCTCCAGAAATAAAAACCTGAGCAGAAAGAAAAGCTTTAAACCAGCTCCACAAACCCCAGATTTGAGTTCTTTAAGTTTGGTGGAACAGAGCTTAACCTTCATACTTGAGGTTGGGATGTTTCCAAGCAGAGCGTGGAGAGTAGGGGTGAGGGTGATGCTCCTTTGTATGGTGATGCTGTTGCGATTGAAAGCTTGGAACTGGTGAGTGGCGACCCTGAGAACTCCCCTCTTAGACCTCCTGGTGACAAAGGGCTCTCTTTGTGGGCTGTGAGGCCGGGTCAGAGCAGCGCAGCTACTCCCTTCCTCCTGCTGAGCTGCTGCGGTGTGAGGAGCTGGTTCCATCAGTGAGCTGCCTGGTGTCGGGATGGGCAGCAGAAAACCCTCCAAGAATTGGACCTTGCCTGGATCTGGGTGAGGACAGTGCCTTCTTTCCATCGAAAGGAGTTTTGTCTCTTTAACACTGCTTTGCTGAGCAGAAAACTATTCCAAGCCAAGGAAAACAGGGCTCCTTTGGTAATTGGAAGTTTGCTTCCAAACAATCCATAACAAATGCCATAAAGTACCAATCTATTCAGAGAATTAATTGGAGACACTTAGGGGAAATTAATAATGAATGCTCAAGTGAGAGTTTCCTTTTGAGCTTTGCATCAAGAACACCAAGGCAAAGTAAACAGCAGAGGAATTAGAGTAAAGCAGACAAACTGTGTGGGGAAAATTAGGTATGCAAAGTAGGAAAGTGCATAAATCTGCATGTTATTAATAGGGGGAGAGTTCCTGAAATTATCATATGGGCTGAATATTAAGCGTAATCAACACAAAAACGAAATGGAGAGGTGCTATTTGGGGGAAGATGGTACAGCAAAAGCAACTTTGGATTAGAAACCTCTTAAACATACACCTGTTGTTTTGCCTCCTACAACCCAGGGTTTGTCATAAGGTATTTTTAGCGTAGAAACAAGCAATTCACCTTCTGGCTTATTTCTGTGCATGCTGAAAACGGCTTCTTCAGGCCATGGTATCTCTGTTGCTGGAATTTGAGGTCTGTTTTTCAGGTGTTTAAAGCACTTGGAAGGAGATGATGTGACCAGTGCATTTTACAGAGGATCTCCTCTTAGAATTAGTGATGAACAAAGGACTAGAGGATGTTTTGAAGGTTTTGGGTAAACCTGTGTCTAAATCTGGATGTGTAACACTCACCGCTTCATCCCAGGGCTTGGGTAGTACTGTCAGATGGGGGACACCTGAAGCACAGGCTATAGCCTTCCTATATGCTGCTGTCACCTTGACTGATGTCATTGGGTGTCCTGGAAACGCTGGAGAACATAGTTGGTGACACTAAAATCGGCTGAATCTTAACTGATGGCTCTTAAATGAGTTGTAAAATTGCTCTGTCAGTTGTTAGTGCAGTAAAGTCGTTTGATCTTCATCAGCCTGGCTGAGGAGTTAGCTACAAAGGCACCAGCTTAGGAGCTGTTCCTGCATTTTCTTCTCTTCTTCTTTTCTTCCTCCTTCAGGCACAAAGGTGTTTACTGAAATGCCCAAGGACTTGGATTTATTTCCAACCCATCACTTGGTGATAAACTTCCATTATTCATAAGGTAGCTTCTTCCACTCTCTTTTGCAAATAGTGTTCTTCAGGAGCATGTTATGAGCTATCCAGTAATGAAACTCTCGTGCTCAGAATTACTTGCAGCTTGCTGCTGTTAGGAAGAGTCTGTGAAATTGGTCCTACCTTAATTCTGAAGTTTGGCGAGGGTTTAGCTTTGCCCTCTGGAAATGCAACAGAGGGGTTCTGTGTTACTGCTCATAATACAGGCCATCTAAAACTGGGAGTCATACCAAGGTCTTCCGTGCATCCAGAGCCAAAAGTCTCTCCAGAGTGGCCAGAAAGTTTGGAGAGAGCTGTCTCACCAGTGCTTTTAGTGCTGGGATGCAAAGCTGTGCTGGTTCTCTGTGGCCTGGAGACATGCAATCTGCACGTATCTGAAGCATCTTGAGTCCTGTATTGTCAGCTTGGGGTGGGGGGAAGACATGGAGTGTTACCTTCAGAGCAACTGGTGTCTGAAAGGATAACATTGGCCTGTAGCTGTTGGAGCTGTAATGACTTTGAAATCATGTTCTAGTTTATATTCTATGATTTTTGAGTGTCCTTCTCCTGTGTTGCATTTGAGAGAATACCCTTGAGATGCTGCTGACCAGATCCTTGTTATGCTGTTCTTGATTAACGGCATCATCTCCTTCCCTTGATGTCAATGTATGTTTGTGTTGCACAGCTTGCCAGTCTCAGTGCTGGGGCTGGAATTGTCACAAGGAATGCAATGTAAGTAAGAAGCTATTTAAGGAGCTATAGTGCAGCAAAGCAAACGGCAAATGCCTGCTTCTGTGCTCTCTCATACTGGTATTAAATCCCCACATAGTCTGTGTTTTTTCCAATTAAGTTTGAAGAATCACTTACATTATTCTCAAGCACGGATCTAAAAACTAAACTTGCCAAATACACGGCTTGACTGAACTGTTGAAGGAAAATCTTTGGGGCTTTCTGCATTTCCCTGGAAAAATTGCTCTGGAGAAGTATTATAATGGATGAAACAGGAAATTAATGTGTGGCTGTGTTAGTGTGAAGAGATGAAATTCCTGCTGCCTCACATTTTATTATGAGCTTGAAATATGACAACATTAAGATGTTAAGGCAAATGACAACAGGATTTCTGAACAGGCTTCAGGGAGGATGGGGAATAGAGATGGGAAAGAATCCAAAAGGGACCTTTCTTATTAGCATCATTCAGTTGTGCACTTGCTCTCCCCTTTTCCAGCCCTCTCTGTCTGGTTCAGAATGGATATCCTGCCTGTTGCTCCATCTTCTCATGGGCGTCCAACAGCTGTGGGGAGGCATTCAAAGTGGTGATTATTTATGCAAGGAGAAGTCTCTAATCGGATACCTTGTTGGGCAGCAACTCCTCTTAAAAGAAACGATGGGGACTGCTAATGGAAAGAAATTACAATCCCTTTACAAATCAATCCACTTGAACCACAGCACCTCTGCTAGAATTGTTCTTCCTGGAAAGGCTTTATGTACATCCAACAGGAATGGCAGCACCAGCTGAAGTGAGTCATGTTTGCATGCTTGTGAGAGCTACCTGACATCTCTTGAGTCAAGCTTTCACTAGACCAGCCCTGCTTTGTCTCTACACACAGCACCAAATTGGCACGAGGTATGATAGTACCTATTCCTACTGAGGTTCCCAAGTGCTTCAGTGTCACTCTAAAATGTAAAACATCATGTGTGAGGACAGGGAGAGGAGACAATGTGTGCAGAAGACATGCTGGAACAAAGACAGGGCCTGGTAAGCAGCTGGCAGTGCTGTCAAGTCATCCCTCTATCAGCATAACTAGTTGCTGGTGACACCCGTGGATAAATGTCCCCCCCGAGGGACTGTGCCTCGCTAGTGGCACCTACCAGCTGGTGGTGTATAACCAAGATGGGAATCCTGACAAACCTCACCCTGTAAGTTCACAGTGAGCTGTAAAACCCCATTGCAGAGATGACTTTCATCTTCTGAGACTCACCTGAATTCCAGGCATGAAGAACAACGCAAAGGCAGAAGTTGAGCTGTCATCATGCTGGCAGCACAGCTTTAAGACACCTCTGAGGCTTTAGAGGCTGTGGACCTGGAACCTCGCTTTACAGTCTTCTGAGGGAATGAAGGAATACTGCCACAGCACAGGCTTATGGAAGAGTGGATGCATAAGAGGTAAAACGTGTTATGTACAGCCTGCTCTAAGGCTTTGTGAGATGAGTGTTGGAAGCTCAAGTGCTCTCTCCATGTGCCTTATTTTTTGACCAGAGTCAGGAAGAAAGAATAAAGTAGGACTTTCCAAGAGTGATGCTTTCCTGCAGTTCCAAGAACTGGGTCATGAGTTGAGTTTCAAGCTTGCACCTGAACATGTGATACAGTCAGAGCTGTACAGCTGCAAGCCTGGCTTTCCCAAGAAAAAAAGGCTGTTTCCACTGTGGGGGATTGTATTTCCTTACATAAAAGATGAGATCCCATGCTACTCGTCTGGGAGATAAATCCTCTCGTGGCTCTGCTTTGACACTGATTGGGTATGGCAAGGCTTAACCTTTCTGTCTTGCCTCCAAAAGTGACTCTTAAATTGTTTGCCTTGGTATTGACTTTGTGGAGGCTCAGTTACAAATGGGCTAAAGAATTTGCACAGTATCAGTGTGTGCTGCTTCTTGCCTTCAAATAGGAGCTTTTTTGCATGCTTTAGCTGGCTAACATGTCTCTTTTATTCTTGAACTAGAGATGTTGCATGTTAGTTGAGCCCTTCAGGCTCCAGCTTGCTTGAGATCTGCCCTCTGGTTTCTCTCTGCTGGGTCTGAAGTAGTTTTTAATTTAGTGTTAGAGGTGAATGAGTCTTTCTGGTTTTGTTAGAATCACGGAATTAGCCAGGTTGGAAAGGACCTTTAGGATCATTGAGTCCAGCCTTTACCCCAGCACTGCCAAAGCCACCACTAATCCATGTCAATGAGGGCCTCATCTGCACAGTTAGGGTTCTGCTTTCTGGCTGTGCCAGAGACCTGTTTACAGTGGGGAGACGCAGCATAAATATGCTGGTTGTGAGCTTCCTTCCTGCTGCAGTGTGGTCCCTTTGGCATGGGATTGCCCCTATGGAAGCAGGTGACCTATTAGCAAGTCCTGCAAGACTGTTTCAGAGTATCTCATCCGGTGTTGTGCCCAAGTCCCTTTGCTGCAATGCTGGAGTGTGTAATGCATCTGTGGGCTGCCTTGCCAGAGGTGGAACAAGGAAACAAAAAGCTTTGAATGTGTTGAGCACACTGCCTCTGTCCCCCTGTGGCCCTACAGCAGCATCTAACGTGTTTGTAGAGAGCTGAGCTGGGGCTTGTTCATTGGTGTCCCTGCTTGATCCCAATGGCTGGTGCCTGCTTGTCAGGTCAGATGGGCCATGAAAGGAGGCAGAAGTGCTGCCTTTCCTAATGAACTGTCTCAAATGAGTACCAATTACAGCATGAAACCAGCTCCACTCCTGAACCAGCCACATGCTGCTTTAGAGGCTACCACGTTACAGACTGCAATGGGGAAAGAGCCATCAGCAGGGAGCAGTTGTAGCACAGTGGCCTTACTCTTGGTCAAGAGGGGGAAGAATGAATGTAGGACCATGAAGAAATGGCATGAGTTCACATTTCCTTGCCAGGACTGGGGTTTATAAGTTCTTGAAAGAAAGCAAGCTCACCCACAGGGAGCTTTTGTTTGATACTTGAGTTGGGTGTGAGGAAGAGGAAAGCAAAGAGGTGGCAGTGTTTGAATGCCTCCTGAAAGCTCCATTTGAGGCAGGAATTTAGCTTGGGTTAAACTTCCCTAGGATGATAACTCCAGCAAGCAGCCCCAGAAGCAAGAAGAGCTACTTGTCCTGATGGGACCTCTTCACAGGAGCGTTTTCCAGGCAAGGTTGTATCAGTCACTCTTGCCCTTGCAGCGAGCTGCTAACAAATGCAGCAGGCTATATTAGACCACCAAGGAAGGGAGAACTGTGTGATGTTGGTTGGAGTCTATGTAAAATAACACTAGAAGCTCCCATAAACAACACTCCTAGCTGTTCTATGCACTGCATAAACCTTGGTGCGTGCTGCGTGGTGTCTTTCTACATGGGTGCTAAAGGGATCATAGAATCATAGAACAGCTAGGGTCGGACAGGCCCTTAAGAACATCCAGTTCCAACCCCCCTGCCATGGGCAGGGACTCCTCACACTAAACCAGGTCACCCAAGGTTTTGTCTTGGGTGTGATTCCCCTAAATACTGCCGTGTTCCTGTGCCTGAACCAGTTTGAAATGGGAAATTCTCTGGAATACCTCCCACTGCCTGGAAAATTGGGCACTTGAGACTATCTTTGAGTATTTTCCAGTATTAGTATCTTCTGTAGCTCCCTTTACTCCAGTGATCATCTGGGGGGGCGGGGACCCAACCCACAACTAAAGAATTAATACCTGCACGGGGGAAGTAATTGTAAATTCCAGGGCTGAGATTTCCTTTCCTTTGCTAACACATTCCCTCGGAAATAAGGGACTGAGTGACTGCTACCAAAGCAGAATGCAGAGCGTGTGCCTTTAGTCCTAAAGGAATTGATTGTTGGGATGTTTTGTTCTTGGATTGCTCTGTAATTTGCTAATGCTGCTCCATACACTGCGGCTGCAGCAAGGAAATATGATCCCATTCTGCCTGCTTTGGTCTCTCTTCACTGGTTACCAGTTCATTTGCAGTTGATTTGGCAGTTCTTTTAATTTAGATTTGATTCTGGGTGCTTGTATTCTCATTTCTCAGTTGCTCTATTGTTATGCAAAACCACGCATTCATCAGCAAAGGACTTTGCTCTATTCTAGCAGTGGAGAGAAGCAAAAGCCTCCTTCAGGCTGTTCCCTTGACTTCTGTGGGCTGTCTGGAGCCTTCCCTGGAGTCACCCATTCTGAGTGAGGATTTACTCCATGGTTTAGGTGTGACATTGGGGATGGGACATGCTGAAAGCACTCACCAGGGTTTGGCCTACCTGGTTGTGGCATAGGGAAGCAGAAGGAGCGGGAGTGAAACTTTGTGTTCTTGCTTGTCCTTTGTGAAGCTGATTTGCTGTGGTCTTAAGAAGTGCAGTCTTCATATGCAAGAATACATCAGCAGCCTTATTCTTCCCCTGAAGAAGGAATGCAAAGGTTAGAGTTCCCTAGGTTTCACTGCTCCATCATGCATTTCATCCTACTAAGGACAGCTTATTCTCTATTAGGTAGGATGCAGAGCTCCCTCCCGAAGTAGGACAGATTGGTTAATTCTCTTTGGGCCCCTTGCTGCTGTTCTTTCCCCAGCCGCTGTGTCCTTTTGGTTATTAATAGTTGTTCTTATTGCCTTAAAAAGAGCTGGGTTTCCATACCTGCTGTGACATTTAAAAGCGATAGCATCCTTCTTCTGAGCTTGTATTGCTCAGGCTTTGGTAGGAGTTTGAACTGTAATTTTCCTGTTCTAATGCATTTGATACTGAAATGGCTTTTGGGCTGGTGGTGCACGTCTTGGTGTTCAAAAGCACAGGCTGAAGAAGGAAATAAACCCCCCTACTTGGAAAATGACTCTCTTCTCCCTGAATGCAATTAGTTTGCTAGGGCTCTTTCTTAGCTGAGATCCCATGGCCCTAGCTCCCAGACCTGTGTTTTGCTGTTCTTGTCTCCATGTGGAATGTTGAGCTGCAGTTCAGTTTCCTGAAGGGGCTCAATTCTTGCCTTTCCAAGACTGCAATGTCAAGAGGGACTCAGAATATGAAAGCAAGCGATTGGGAACATGAGTCACCATGGCAGCCCAGCCAGGCAGCACTAGTGCTTTGCAAACGGGCACTAGGAGGGGGAACACTTCCCACTTGGTCAAGCATCAGTCCTTTTAACACATCATCTACTTCAGATTTTACAGGAACCTGTGGCAAAGCCAGTGCAGTACCAATACAGGTACTTTTTTAGTAACAAGTACTTGTAAACCACCTGAAAATCAGCTTATCCTTCTGTTTGGCATCTTATGCTGCCTTGGCCTTTTGGCTTCTGTTTCCTTAAATACCAGTAGCTATTTCCAGTGCCTTTAAAGGAAGGGGGAGATTTAGTGGACCATAGCCTGGAAGTCCAGAAATCCATCTTCTTGATGCACTGTGGATACTCCATATGATTTCAGACAAGCCCATTTAATTCCCTGTGTCAGTGCCCAGCATGGAAAAGGAGGATAATAGTGGCTTGCCTAAACCTGTAAACCCTGTACCATGCTAGCTATCAAAAGGTTTTCTTAATGTTTTCAGCTCTTAATCTCTTCAAAGATAAGATTGACAGTGCATCCATTCCTGATTTCTCTTGAAATCAGCCATCATTTATTGCTCCAAAGTATAAGAAGTCTGCCTCTTTCTAGCCTGTCAGCAGCCCCTTGGACAGGAGCACTCTGTCCAGCCTGTGTGTGTCTAACTTGTCAGTCTGAGTGATCAAAGACTACTTTTGAACTTGAGGAGGGAAGGTAAGGCTTGGTTTATGTTTTCCTGAGTCAGCAGCAATAGCATTCCGGACCACTGAGTCTTCCCTAGCTTTCATACCATGCTGTCAATCAAGTCTTCACTTTAGAAAGACCAAAACCTATATGCCAGGCTTTACAGAATGAGCTAGCCCTGAGTCTATGGAGTTCTTTGAAACACAGCGGACTTTGAATTGGATCCAACTTCATCATAATAACTTGAAATGAGGCCAGACTCAGTGTTGGATGGCTCAGGATGGGACTCTTTAATGCTGCTTTGGGCTCGCAGTGCCCAAACCTAAAAACTTGGTGACGAGTATCTTCCAGATCTCAACTTCATACCCCAAACCAGAACTGTTTATCCAAGAAATGTGGGATGTCAAAACTGGTCAGAATGGGAAGTTCTGGACATAAGCAGCTATTTAGGATCCAGATAGGAATCCTTGCTGACGTATTCTGCTAGTGTTCCACATTTCTGTCTGCTTCACGTGGCTCAAAATGGCAAGATTAAAGCAGTAACTTGCTAGATGATCAAACCCTGCTTCACGATTCAAATGACTCAGTAATGGTCAAGGTCCCACTAATGAATTACTCTGCTCTTGTTCAAGCCAACAAAAGAGAGCACAGAAGACTTCTGGACAAGCAGAAAGGAATACTTGAAGAGGGCAGCCTAAAGAGCCAAGCTTGACATGGATCCTGTACCTTGGGCACCACTCACATGCCTGTGAGGCGAGGTTGTGATGTCCTGCTATCCCAGAACAGACAGCCTAGAGTAAAAGCTAATGGGAAACTTGGGATTTAGCCTTTTACCAGCA